CACACCCTACTTGTATGATACAGACTTTATATTATATATACTCAAGACATGCACAAGAGTTCGTAGCGGCGAGAGTGCAGGTACCGTACCGCTCAAACAAAAATTTAGGAAATAAGAAATGTTATTTTTATAGTTTGTTTGTAACGTTTTGTAATAATACTGTAAACATGCCTCATAAATAAACATTTAAAAAAAAAAAAAACCAGTTCTCGTCCGATCACTGAAGTCAAGCAACGTTGAGCACGGTTAGTACTTGGATGGGTGACCGCTTGGGAACACCGTGTGATGTTGTCCCTCAATTTTTTTTGCTTCCCAGAAAGAAATTCTATAAAAAAAAACACAAAGATTTTTTTATTATTTGAAGTAACTTATGGAGATAAAAAGATAGTTTGCTAAAACTAACAACATACATTGATTCGAATGATGGGAAAACTATATACAAAACTACAAGTCATTAACAATAAGTCCAACTCAACATAAATAGAATTGCAAAAAGTTTGAATGATATAGTTGCCTCTTTAAATTTTTAATCTTAAACTTTTGGAGTAATAAATGATATCCATAAAATGTGATACGTAAATAAAATACGTAATGTGTAATTATCGTATTCTTTAATAATTATTTGATATAGCGGTTAAAGAATATTATTAACGATTATGATAATTATTATTACCATAAATATAATATTTTTATACAATAAATTTAATTAATTCTTGTTGGAGATCAAATACCTTTCCACGTAAATCTGCGCGCAGTGATATCGATTGTTTAATCTCGTGTCTGAAGATGCAGTGCGTGTAGGAGTTACCCGACAAGTGGCGCTATCCGCGGGATGCTGCGGAGTCTCGTGTGCGTGAACGGAGCAATGGCGTAGGCGGTGATCCGTGTGATAAATTAATTTTTATTACTTCGTGGGTGGCGGCTCTTACTATTGGTCGCTGATCAGGTACCTCCTACTCCCCGCAACGGAGCCTTCTCCGGCATTATTCTACGCGACGGCGATAGAAAACGGCGCACGATTTGTCTCGTCTTAAGGCAAAGTAGGATAAACGAGGAAATCGATTACACCGAGAAGATCGGGATTTGCGATGCGACTGACAGACAATGGAACGGATATTCATGCATCTCGCGGATAACTTCTCCCGATTCTTCCGCAAATCGGAAAGAAAATTCGTACAAATCGTTTTGTACGAATTTCACGATCGTTTAGTACGAAATCGAACATGCTCTGATATAGAAGTGGAATAAATATGTATATAGCATATTATTAAAAATTGAATAACAAACGAAATGGACTATTATTATGAAAAGTCGCGACAGTGTCTTTTCGACGATAGGAATTATGTTGTATATTGACGGTCCAATTTTTATTATTTTAAAAGAAAACGCGTTCGTTTCTAGCAAAGGATGTTTCTGTGAGCGAGCAACTCGTCTTATGCGCATATTGAAATCACTGACCAGGCATTGAAATCACCGAAGGGCGGAGGTAAGGCGCGTCTCGTTTCTTATTTCATCTCGTAGCAAATCCAGAGAATTCGAATTTTTTAATAATACAATATAAATATAAATATAAATATTCTGATTGATAAACTGTTACCATAATACATTATATGGAATATACAATGGACATTCATCGATTTAAATGCTCATGTTATGCTCTTGCATTTTTAAAATATAGTGCAAGCGACCATTTCATTCTCAATTATCAAACACTCATTTCCTTCTATTAATATGTAATTATTGTATATTAGATAATGCGCAGATTAAATATTCTATCGAATTATTTCACAATAATTCTGTTAGTAAGCGAGCTTGCAGTTTTCGTAATAGATTTTAATTATTGTTTTGAGCTATAACGAGATACGTAATCGCACTTATGTTTTTAGAAATCTGTATAATTTTTAAAATAGAAGATCAAACTCATTACAACAATAAGTATAAATCTCATAATTTTTGCGATAATTGTAACACGAACAGATTCAAAATAGCCGGTGCGATCGTGATTTGATCTTATCCAAACAGCCGCACCTGTAGTTGCCGGCTGGTAGCGCGAAAAAAAAATACACAGGTAATAAAGTATCCCGATATATCAGCTAGTAGTGCTTTTCTCCATTACGTTTACGAGATGGCTGACCGCTATAGTTATACGAATCTATTAAATATTGCATCGAACGATGTTTTATTGTATCAATGTTTACTGTATGCGTAATTTCCGAATCTAAATCTTGTTCCGATTCGGCTTGATCCGAGAGAGACTGTATTTTGTTCAATTATTTCGAGAAAGTACAAAACGTAAAAAACTGGAGTTTTTCGAATTCGTAACATTCCTAAAGGACGAGAATGAATATGATCAGCGTTAGATTAATGAAAATTCTTGATACTAAAAGAAAAAGATAGGATAAGTTTTTTATAGTAAAATTGATTTTGTATCATAATAAATATAAAACAGATTATAGTATTATCAGTTTCGTTTAAAAAAATATATCAATTTAGTGATATTAAAATGCAAATATTACAAATCTCTCGATTTACTTCGTTTTCGATGATCGGTGCCAATTACTCGACTATCTTGAGATTACGTTCCGACTGATTATTTCCCAGGGAGAAATAATCAGTCTATAGACATCGAATCGACGTCTATAGACTGATTACTTCTTTCTGGAGTTATCAGTGATATAATATAATAGCAAGTACTCTAATTTTCAATTTGTTATCGATTCTTCTTTCTTTTTTTCTCGTTCACGATAATGATAAATCAATTACGCTCTTTCCGCGAATGCGAATTCAAACCCACAGATAATTCTGGTGATTTTCCGAAAGAATCGCGGCATTGTAGAGCGAAACGGAATTCTGTGCCGCGGATATCTGCATAAAATACCGCTGGATGAGAAGGAGGGCTGTTGTATGGGGTCGGGAGAGAGGGATCGCGCATACGTGTGTCGTCTCTTCGGTCGCGAGAGAATCGCGGCTGCTCGCGAGAGAAGCAGGTTGTAACTGGACGGCGGGGAAGAGAGACGAATGCAAGGCGGATAGACGGCGAGGGACAAAGTACGAAACGAAACAGCTGGAATGACGGAGAGGAACGAGCGCGCGAACGAGCGAGAGGGAGGCAGCTGGACCGTGTTACCTCCAACGCGGCGCGGCGCGGCGCGGAGACGGATGCTGCGGCGGCGAGGCGGATCGAGAGGGAGAAGGAGAAAGAGATGTGGGAAGGGGAGGAAGATCGGAAGAGATGGACAGATGGAAGGAGCGAGAGCGTGACAGTGGGAAGGACGGCGGCGCGAGCGAGATCGGCCGGCGCGGAGCGAGGAAGACGGCGGGAGCGTATAGTCGCGAGAAGGCTGCGGTAGTCTTTCTCGGCTGGCTAGGTGAGATAAGGACAAGGCGGACAAACGGACTGACGAAGGTGCCTAAGGTAGGGATACTCAGTCTCGCGGCCACGTGCTACACGAGCGCACGCCCCGAGCCGGCCGGCGGTCCAGCCAGCCAGCCAGCCTCCGACGTCGACCTCTTCCTCTTCGTCCTCGTATCAATCCGCGCTTCCTCCCGTCCGTTTGGTCCATCCGTCCGTCCGTCTGTCCGTCCGTCCGTCCGTCCGTCCGTTTCTTTCCGTCAGACGTTGAAATCGTCGAAAAGTAAAGTCGCGCAACGTAGTTCCGAGCGCGATCGAGCACGCGATCGGTGTGATACTCCAGCATGCTCCGCGAGGAGCAACACGCGCGCGAGTGATCCCGGCGAGATATATTGGAAGGACACTCGTCGTCAGCTGTGATCCGCGCGGAGAGCGATATCCTCGTATTGTGATTCTTTCCGACGGATGATCACGTTTTTCCCTCGCCCGGAGGATACTTTCGAGTGTGTATCGTATATAATTATTCGGCCTGGTGTAACCGCGACGAGGACGATCGCGTACTGCTTGACAACACACACAGTGCGTGGATGAAGAACGTGCGTCGATGTGTGTTTTCTGTGCTGGATAAGGGCGAGCGGCGATGACGCGTGCTGTCACGACGGACTGATACGCGTTCATAGATGCGACGGTGTGCGAAATATTGGAAAAGGGTTTGATACGGAAGTGTATCTCTCGAGAGGAAGAGGAATTAAACGGAAGCGTTTCGGTGGATGATATTGCATAGGTATGTATGCCGATATATATACAGCAATATATTAAAGTGTCGAAATCATAGATGGATCTATAAACTTCTGTTTTGCTTTTCGAAAAGAAATGAATGAGGATCTAAATTATCGAGTGAATTACATTAGATTGTCTCATTTAAATGCCCGACACAATCAAGTATAACATTTGACACAATCGCGCGAGAAGATTTCAGGTGTCGTGCGAGGTTAAAATTTATTTTGGCTCGATTATTTATAACATAAATTTTTGATGAACATCATGTATCCTATATTTTTCTTATATTTATTAAGCACAATCGTGAATGTTACATTTTCGTGGCAAGTTTGTCAGCTCAGTGATAGCGCGAGCATTTATTTCACAGTCTCGATAAATAACGTAACAATCTCTATGATACGAATGTGATCTTCTATTCACATCTATTATCTCGATCCTTAATTAATCCCTTGCATTGAAATTCTACATAATAACGGTCAAATCTTATAAATCTTATAAAAACAATATTTCATTTTGGCATCCAAGATTCACAGATTTCAAAGTGACAGTTTATGCAGAAGATTCCTCTTAATCAAGGATTTAAAGGATTTAGACCTACACGGAGAGAATTTTCTTTTAAAATTAACCCTGAAAATCATGTTAATCGTGAGGCAACATCATATTTTGACAAATTTTATATGGTTTTCTCTGTTTTTTTTTTTACTATACACTACAATAAATTTGTTGTAGTATATATTTAAAAAAAAGTGAAAATCACATAAAATTCGTCGAAATGCTATGTTGTCCCACGATTAACATAATTTTCAAGGTAAATTTTAAAATAAAATTCTCTGCGTGTACGATATTATAATGCATATTGTACTTATTGTTAACCGTAAGTTCGCGTATGGAAATCTATGGATCGATCTCACAATCAGTGTCTGCGGTTAATAACGAACGTCATCGCGAGTAATTCGGCAAATCAAGAATCGGTGCCGTTATATGAAAAATTAATTCCAATCTCGCGGTTACAATTAATTTGTCACGACTTAAGGAGAAAGAAAGGGAGGGGATGTGCAACAATTTCAACTGTCTGCAGTCAGTACTGTGATATCCGTGTGACGTGCCGCTCACAACCGGTTCATTAAAGTTGCAGTCCGCTCGTCACTCATTGGCTGCCACAGCTTGGCAGCGATCGAGATGTTCGTTCGACGAAAAGGAGAAACAGTAAAAAAAAGGAAAAAAAAATATGACGAGGAATGACGCGTGTATATATATGTATATATATATATAAAATATATATACTGGTGATGCCTTTGACGCGCGAGTGTGTTTCACCTTTCAATCATTATTATTACGAAGACGAGCAGAGGCAAGAACCGATCGCGGTCACCGCGCGCCTCTGTCAGATGGAGAAAAAAATACGGATAATCGAATTATTAATAGCGGGATAGGAGTGGTTGGTGTCTTTCGTATAAGGAGAGAAGAATCGACAAATTGACGACGGAATCGTCACGGGAAACCGTTAGAAACGTTATTGTGAAACAAATTTGCGTGTCTCGATAGATGTCTCAAGGGATCGGCGTGCGAGCGTGTTAATATATTAAATGCCACGGGCAAGCCAAATAGCGAAATATTTGAGAGTATGGAAAATATAAAATATTCGAACGTTCTCTAATATCGTACTGAATGTTGTGTGCCGATAATATAATTAAAATTAATTTGAGACTATTTGGTTTTTCGATCGGGCGCACTTTGACCTGCGACAGAACGCGGCTTTAATGCGGAGCGCCGAAACATTGTTCCATACACGTCAAATGTCAAATCTCGTCGATCGATCGCCACTCTTCGTCGCGGCGAGGAGATCGCGGCCATGACGATTTAACATCTCCGTGACGACGCGCGGCGCCATTATCTCTCACGGTCGCTAATTATGTTTTAATACCCTAATTATTTCACAGATTAAGCTCACAATCGATATTACGATCCGCGCGGCTCGCAATAAAACTATCCGTGCCGATCGTTCACGCAACCATTTATTAGCGAACGGGCGGGAGGCGGCGCGCGGGCGCGCGCTTACGTTCGTTTCGCACGAAGAGAAACGATTCTCCTTCCCCCGATTCTTCAAGGACCGCGGATGGTGTGTCGCGATACGCGTAAATACCGAGACGTGGAATCGCCCGATGACAGCTAAAACATATCGCGCGATGACGGTAATAGTCCCGAGTCGCGCGAAACGCGCGAGAACGGGCGTCCTTCGGCGTCGTCGGCTAATGAAATACACGCTCGTGGACGCGGCTCAAAAACGCAAATAGGAAAAACCCCCCGATGGCACCCGATGGCCAGTCGCCACCGTCATCGCTGTCATCGTCGCCGTAACTCTCGCGAACGATCGTGTTTATCGCCGCGTTACAATTGCGCTATACCGCGCCGGCTCGCCGCGCGCGCGTTAATCCGTGAAAACAAGGATTTATCGGAGCCGGAGCGCGCGGCGAGGTGACGATGTATTCAGCGGAACCGGTCTTCCGCGGGCATGTACGGCTGTTAATTAATTTGTCATTAGTCAGCGAGGAAAGATGAGAGGCGCGCAATAAAATTTATCGATGGCCGCGGCCGCGGCGTGCCTCCTCTTTGTCACGGAGGCGGCCCCGCGATTATGCCGATTTCAATAATACACGCGCGGGGGAGCAATGCCGCTCGCTCGGTCCGATCGCTCGCGAAGGCGATCGTTTAGTCGTGTGTCGCGACAATTTCTTTAATTAAAGTATACGCCGTGCCATTTCTACGGTAATTGTTCTTATAGAGATCACGCGAGTATAATATTATGTTATACTTTACTGATGATATATGTCAATAATAATTCCTTAAGATATACGGATGTTATTGATTACATCTCTTGCAAGCAAGCTATTCTGTGATATTTCCAAATATATCAAACAGAGCCATAAAAAGCTTGCTGTGAGCCAGTACTAAAGGCAAAAATAAAGAATCACATTGCAGGTCACACTAAGATTTCAAATGGCTTCGAATTGTTGCGAATCGACAGTTAAAGAATTTTGTTCGAGTGGAGCTTCAGTTGTGGATGCTCATTCGTTAACGTTCGCGTTACTGTTCTGGATTAAATACACCAATTATCCTTGATATATGCCATCGCAATCCCGCAACGCGTTACAGTTCAAACTTAATAAAGTCGCGGCACTGTGAGTTCGTATAGCACTTAAACGCAATTGAATAACGTGCTTCAATTATAATCCATGAGTACCAGAAAATCTCGGTGTATAATCTTTACTGCTATAGATTCCCGCATATACATAACGCGAATCGTGTTGCAAGTATATATGCCAATATTACTCCGTGATCGTGTAGATTAGCTCAATCGGCGGCGGCGCCAATTACCGCGTTCTTAATCGTGGCTTTGTTGATCGACCAGGGAAATCTCGGGGTGTCCTCAATTAACATTTACTTTCAAATCGCGTCTCTGTGGAACTGGATTAATTCCCCGGGCTATACCGATCGTAATATCCCCGCGAGCGCGCGTTGCGATCATTCCTCAAGAGAACCCGAGCATATTTACTTTCCGAATTAATTCCGTGTAACAAATACATTTACAGTTTCCACGATATATTTACGACATTTGTACACCCCCCGGTCCATCCTGGGCTGTACGACGCCCTGAGTCTCTCTCTCTCATCGACGAAATTGAAATTAAACGTCGGCAATCAAGAAGCACGGTTTACACGCGCCGTTTCGAGTTCCCACGTGGTTTTGCGCGGGTCGCAAAATTGATACGTGGCAGCCTCCGTAATTAGCTCTTGTATTTATGCGTCCCTCGCAGGGCGGTCCGCGTTAACATTGGTAATGGCGTTACGCTGTTGTAAACACGACATGTTATCTCGTGCGCAAGATACCCCGAACCCCGGGGAGGACGTTCGCCCGATCGCGATTTCGGCGGGCCGCGTTCTCTCGTTTCTGCGACCCGGGGCCGCTCGTATTCTGGAATAATTATTGTACATCGCGCTGATATACCGCCGCCTCGCGCGCTCGTTCGCCATAAAAATGCCGCTTTGATAGTGGGAGATATTCGTTAGCGTACACATTTCGGGTGTTCCGTTGCTGGGAGGCCGCGCGGGCTGGGACGCAAATATCTTGTCTCGTATTATTACAGTGTATTATACAGCGTATTAAACAGCGAATGAATCGCCGAATTCGAATGAGATGGAACGATCTTGAACATGCATAGTACGCGATGGGACGATAGAAAAAAATATTTGAAAAACTTGATCGACTAATTAGTTGTTATTATTAACAAGCGACACTGAACGTCATATCGAGAGCTTGTTCTCGAGATAATTATTTGTTTGTCTTTCTTTTCTTTCTTATCAGGCCGGAAATCACGCGGCGCGTGAACGTTTCAGGCACGGCGAGGAACGCGAGAAGCGCGCAAAATGGTGGCTCGCTACGTCAAGCGGAGAGAGGTCAGGTCGGGTCACAGGCCAGGACGGCTGACACCGAGGGATTAAAACGTGTCGAATGGATGTGGGCGATCTGTCGGGCCCGGCAGGATTGGTAGGGAGCGGATCCATCTCGATTACGACGGGTGTTGGTGGTATTATCGCCAACGCGACATCCGCCACCCCAGGGTGGTGGGCGCCTACGTCGACGATCACATCGGCAGCGGCCAACACCGACGTGGTGAGTCTTTTTTTTGCCTCTTTTGTTCTTTCGATCGTTTCGAGCTACCGTAGAAATCCGTCCTATAATATACGAATATAGCATTTTTTTCCGAAGACAGATGGTTATGTCTATACGTTTTCGTAAGGTTACTACTTAAAGCCCATATCAGACTACGCATTCGAGATTGAAAATTAAATTGTAAACTAAAATTCAATTAAAATGAAACGAATTAAAATTAAAATTATCTGATTAGTTAAATTTTGCTTTTCAACTCGCAATTCTCAATTTCCAATTTATAATTTTGATATACTGGCTTAATATTAACGCGAGCATTTATTTGATTTTATATGATTGATGATGATATGATTTTTATACGATGTATTCAGTTATAATAGAGAATGACGAAAAAAGACTTAGACATTTGTAAATAATAAATATTTGCATTAATGCCGTAGGCTTAATCGCGTCGGACGAGAGAGAGAAAGAGAGAGATATCCGCGTGTCACGTGGCATACTGTAAATTATGGCCTTTCTTATTATTCAAATATGGTATTTCTGTGGCATTTTGTGCGCTTAATTACGAGTTTCTCGATTCAATTAAATTATAGTGCCTCTCGCGCGATCTGATCGGATTGGAAATACGTATAGGAATCGCGCGAGTTCACGCTCGTCATCGGCGCTCGCACGGCGCACGTTGATTGGTATTTACACGAGCCGGATTAGTCTAAATCGCTAACCGAGGCTCGAAATAACGGAATCGAGAGAAACGATGGGAACGCCGAAAGAGAGGGGAACGTGTCGCTCGCTGTCGGCGATGTAAAAAGGCCATCAACATCGTATCGGCGTGTTCGCCTCTTCATTCACCGTCGCTCGTGGCGGCACTTAATGAGATGATTCTCATGTGGAACGTGGGTGGGCGCGCGGAAAGGATTCAGACGGATGCAGACCGTTTTGTAGCGATGTAGATTATCCGCAAAATATGAGAAGAAGCGGCACGGGCCGGAGGGCGGGAGGAGAGCGCGTTATTTAGTTCCCCGGTCGATGTGTGGCGGTCTGTGGCCGCGGGGATTAGAATCGAGGTGACACAGCCGCGTCATCTGTTGGACGTTTAACCTTTTTTGCCTCCTACCTCGGCCTGCACGTCGCTGCTCCTCGCCGTCATTTCCGCGAGAAGTCATCAGCCTGTACCGCGCATACGTTCGCAGGTTAATGAGATCGAAAGTCGTTTTAGAATACCTGCGCGCGCCGTTGCCAGCCTGTAGGTTTCAGCGTTCGCGACGATCGGCAGAAATCCCCGGTCATCCGGGGATATTTGCAGATGCCCCATCGGTCGATCTTTTTCCGTAAAATACGCAGAGAAAAAGAGGGAAACGTTCGCATTTCCGCGCGACGTATCACGTGGCATATCGCAGCTTTACTGGCGTCAGTATTTTACGATAATACGTCAGAATTATTATGTCGAAATACCTCCTCCGCCTCCTCCACCTCTCGATTTGGATCGTGTGAAAATCTCACCGCGAGTGCTCGCTCTCTATATATACATATATATAATCATTTTGTAATCATCGATTCCGTGTGAAACGCGGTAACCTAGCGATGCCTAAAACCGGATCGATCCATGTCAATTTGCTCGCATATCGATTCCGTGAATCGTCATTATACTCTGCGTTATACACATACGCGTCTCGAAACGGAGTCCGCGGAAGCGCCGTTACGCGGTAAATGTTCGCCATCCGTGCAAGTCGCGCAGCAAACCGAAATATTAATGAATCATAAAATTCACTTGCGAAAGTCGTAAATGACCGTCGAGCGACCGTCGTCCCATCTGGCCCGCGCGACGCCCGCGACAGGCGAGGAGGAATTCGAGCGCGCGAGCGCGCGCGGATCTCACACACCGAGCGCGTCTTGACAATCCCGGTCCCCGCACAATTACCGCCCGTAACGCGAGCGATCAATTTCTCGTCGCCGTTCTACGACGAGAACGGCGGGCCGTTACTTCAGCACGTACTTTTCGTGTGGGAATCGGATCCGCGCGATTCCTCTTCCCTCCGCGCCTCCCCCCTCGCCCCGGACGAGCCGCGCGTTCGAGGCAGCGAGGGAGCTGTGCGGTCTAGTAATGACTGGCTAACTAGGTTTTAATAGGAAGGCGATTTCTCGCAGCGAGAAAATAGACCCCTCGTTCGCGCGCTCCTCGCCGATTCTCGATCCGCGAACGAGGCAAGAAAGAGTCCTTCTTCTCTCCCGCGCGACGTCGAGGATCCTCCACGCGGAGCAGATGCGCGCTCGCGTTGATTGCCGACTACAATGCGCGCGCGGATCGCGCCGTGATCGCGCTGTTCGACAACAGATTGTAGTCGGGGATATTAACGCGAGATCGAATCCGGGGATCAGTATTCCTTCATCTGATATCTCAGATTACAATCTGTGACAAAGGCTACAGAAAGGAATTTTTTTATAAACGAATTGTCTCTTATTTTTAATGTAAAATGACGCAAAAAATAAAGAGGAACTGTCATGGTTAAAAATGACGTATAGCGAGGAAATATATATATATATATATATATAATTTTCTGATCTTAAGTTTGTGATAAAAATAATGAAATTGATCTAACGATTTGAAAATCATACATAGATTCCTCTCTGTAACTCGTTTTATGTTTAAATTAGACAGACGGTACCTAACGAGCGGTTTACGCATTAGTTTACGATGGAAATTAATAGAACATATGTAATCTTATTCATTGTCAGACAAGAACTTAACTCAATTTTGTAACTGTTTAAACGTGTATTGAAGAAAATATTAATAATTAATTGATACTTTACGCATGCAGGTAAGCTAATGAAAATATCACTTTTGAGAGTAATTAATTATATATTCACGCATTAAGAGAAAATACATTAAAAATAGGTATACTGGAAAAAGTACATTTAATATTTTTTGATATTAAAAATCGAGATTAAAAAAGATCATATACATACTTGCTTCTTTTCGATTTCGCAATGATGCTTTGTATAGGAATGTAGGAGGTTCCGGTTATATCCTATCACAGTACTGTTCGTTGTTCCGATCTTGCGTTTCGAGAGCGTGCATTAGATCGAGAAACCCTTCCGTGATTGGCAGATATTGTACGGGGATGAGGCGCGCGTTCGTCGGGCATATTCTGTACGTCCTCAGGTCCCGAGCGTAACCACATGTCGCATCTTTTTGTTGCAGATGAATCAGCTCTGCAGGGTTTGCGGAGAGCCAGCCGCGGGTTTTCACTTTGGGGCCTTCACGTGCGAAGGCTGCAAGGTCAGTATCTTCGCGCGTCGCCATTCTTCCACGGCTATTCATCCATATCGTTATTCTCTGGTAACAAAACAAAAAAAAAATTAAGAAAAAAAATGAAAGAGAAAGAGAGAGAGAAAGAAAGAGAGAGGGGGATAACGACTCGCGATCGTTACGTTTCTCGCGACGCGAGACGTTTACGCTGGAAATTACGTAAATCGCGTAGAATCGCGCGGGAACAAAGAGCAATAGTGTCGGAGATATGATTTTCTTTTTATACGTAAGTCGGGCTCTCGCGTTTGCGGCGGTACAAGAAAATGTCCTGGTAAAATTAATCGCCAATAATTCAATGTCAAACTAACAATTGTTATACGTTATTAATCGGAACGGATCTGCGTGCCGTCGTTCAAAACTGTATCTCGCGGGTACGCGCGTTCTTAGTCAAAACTCGTGATCTTTCGCGATTGTTGAGAATTTAGCTTTACTAACAGGTAGCTAAAGATTTATTTAACGCGCGCGTTTCTCCTGGTCTCTAATAAAGCGAAAGCGCAAATCTTTAATCGATCGCGAACTGACCAACGCGCGTCTATTTCGCTTTCTGTTGCACAGTCCTTCTTCGGGCGCACCTACAACAATCTGGGTAGCATATCCGAGTGCAAGAACGGCGGCGTCTGCGTGATCAACAAGAAGAATCGCACCGCATGCAAGGCATGTCGCTTGCGGAAGTGCCTGATGGTGGGCATGTCCAAGTCCGGCTCGCGTTACGGCCGGCGCTCCAATTGGTTCAAGATACACTGCCTGCTGCAGGAGCAGTCCCAGCAGGCGCAAAATCGCCTGATCAAGGATCCGAAGTCCGCGTACGAGAAGGCGTTCGGCTCGTTAGACGCCGCGAATAACAATAATAACAACAACACCGAGAACGCAAGTAACACTAGCGCCAGCAGCATCGTCGGCACCATCACCACGGCGACCACCACGGCGAACAGTTACCATCATCACCTGCACCACCATCACCATCCGGACCGGTTGCCCAAGAGGGAGGACGGTGCGCTCAGGCCACCGGATATCCCGGTGCAGCTAAGGTCACCCGACATCCCGCCGAGAACCAGCCAGGAGGCGATTCTGAGGCCTGCCGATCTGCCGAGGGCGCCCCACGAGATGCTCAGGCCCGAGGTCTCGAGGTTCCCCATGTGGCGGGGCCCGCCGTTGTTTCATCCGGCGCTCACGCACATGCAGCTCCTGAACACGCCATTCTTTCCGTTTCAGCAACGCTTTATCGTACCTTACGTGAATCAAGTGGGTCCGCCGCAGATGGCGACCAGCCTGTCGAGCTCGTCCAGCGAGAGCGTTAGTCCGCGATCGACTCCGTCGCCGACGAAGAGAAGCGAGGAGAATCGAGAGTGCCGCGAGGTTGACCGCGAGACCGTTGAACGAGACCGATGTCCGAGAGCGGGCTCGATAGAGGTCGCGTATGACAAGAATCTGACGTTCTTGCGATCCCTCGGGCCGGAGCAGGACGAGCCGATGGACCTCACTATGAAGGACACACGGACGGACGGACAGGAGGTGGACGCTGGTAGCATGGAGGAGGAGGAGGAGGAGGAGAAGTCGAGCAACAGCGAGGAAAATGAGCTTCTGCAGGACACCGGACCGCCGTTGGATCTCACCCGGAAGACATGACCTCAGATACCAAATGGTGCTCACTAAAGTGCTCAACAAGAACTCCGATCCGATCGGAAAAAAATCGTCGCCGGTGTCGCCCTCCGCGAAATTCGCGTGGATAGTGGGGCTATAGTGTTGCCGAGTAATTTGTTGGAAAAGAAGCTGACGATTCGAAGCCCCTCCTTCCCGTTGACAGGAGGAAAGAAACGGACGGTGGTCGAAGGAAAAGACGAATGGATGGGAAAATGATGTAAGACGAAGAAGAAGAAGAAGAAGAAGAAGAAGAAGAAGAAGAAGAAGAAGGAGGAGGAGGAGGAGGAGGAGGCAAAGAAAGATACGGTGAAGAAGAGAATGGAGAAGAACGCGCGAATCACACGAGATGCGGAGAGAGGGTGAAAGAAGGTACAGTTACATCGTAATAACGTGGCGAGCGAGAAGCACGGCCCGAGTGTCAAAGGTGCCTCGGCGCAAGAAACGAGGAGGCGACTTCAAGAGGGAAAGAGGAGTAGCCGAATACGATTACGTTGGAACGACACGAGAGGGAAAAGTACAAGAGAAAAGGGTGGGAGGGGGGAGGGGAGGGAGAGCGCGGTCGGCCTACGCCGAAGGAGAAGAAGAAGTGCCGCGCGTAGCCAGCCGGCATAAACGGCTTTACGATCGGCGATCGTCCGATCGATGAAAATTGCTCAAGCCGCTCGGTATTAGCCGACACACACATACACATACACAGCACACATACACACAGTCCCCTTTGCCCGGTCGTACCCCGACGGCAGGTGCACATTGACGAGGCGACCGAGAATATATCGGCTCGCGATACATTCTCTTGCGTCGGAGAAACGTACGACGGACGCATCGTGCCTTACGAAGCTGGGCATCGGACTATGCGCGACTCGCGATACCGGGGCTAATTCGCGTTACTGAATTTGCGTGCGTATTTGTGGTCGGGTAGATTCGTCGCTGGATTCATCAAGCCGCGCTGGATTCGCCAGCGGAGCTGATATATCGACGAAGCCGAGACGTGAAACACTATATAATACGGATTAATTTAGCGTGATCGTTCGTATATAGAGCTGCGCTATGCGTGTACGAACGAAACCACGAAATCGCGAATCGCGCATATCGTATAGCATCCCGGCTCGAGAAGCGGTGCCTTAAAAAATACGGCGGTGAAAGAAAAGCCACCGGTGATAGCTTAACGTTTAAACAATATGTAACCGTTTGCCGTAGCGTGGCGACAAAACGCACGGCGGGATGGCCAGTGAGTGCTTCGCGCGTACTATTGCGCCGACGAAGTCGTTCGGCTGCAGTGTTCGGAGGCCCGGGGCTCCGTTCGATCCGGTGCAATCGCGTCGATTCGCCGAGAGGGAAAAAAGTAGAATAAAATTGACGGCGATGCGAGTGAGATCGGACGATGATGATCCGGGCGCCGGATAAATTGTGATTCTGCGAATTCCAAGTGCTCTTAGTACGTAACTTATGTATATTTTTCGAGAGTCTTGTCGGACGAGAACGGGGATCGTATCGCGCCCGAGCGCGAGGGAAACGTTCGCTCTGATCGTGCCGATCGTCCGCACGGTGGGACCCGCAGTTGCGCTTAAAGTACAAAAAGAGAGAGAGAGAGAGAGAAAGAAAAGAAGAGAGATATATACGCGGGAGATGCGGTAGCCACGATCGGACGATACGCGCGAGGCATGGGCGCCGCGTTTGAATGTCCGATAGAGTCGAGGAAAGAGAGTACGAAATGAAATAAAGAATATTGTATACCTGATTGTGTGTCTGTGTGTGTGTAACACCTTTTGATCGCCGTTCATTAAACATCCCTCCATCGCTCTCATCGATCCCCCGATCTTCGCTATACGTTCCTAAGCGCGAGATGGTATTCGATTACTTTCGTCCCTCGCGCGTCTTTCACATTCCACGCCGCCGCGCCGCTACATCGCGGTATCGCGCGCGCGTTATAATATTATATACACGCGCGCGCGCGCGCGCGCGTAGACGCGTATCATCGTATCTGCGATGTTATTTATCTAGCAATAAATTTGTCCGCCTTGATATACTACGCAAAACACGTTTTCCCGATAGTTTCACGCCGACGCGACGCGACGCCTCGGGAAGAATGATGCGATTCTCCTCCCGTCCCGTCCCGACGACGTCGGGGACGTCGAAAACGCCTGACAATAAATTTTCTTAAAAGTTCAGCAATAAACACGCGAGTATATCGATCGTAAGGTTTCTCCCCCTAAGGTCGTTTGACCGGGTCAGCCGGAGCTCTCCGTTTCTTCCGCCGCGCGCGCGGATATATATATATAAAAAAAGAGGAAGACTCCGCAGGAGACGGCGGCGAGCGAAACGAGCGCGCGAGCGACGTACCAGGAAATGCATACTTCTCGTACGCGGAAGTTTTATTGCTAATTACGTTATATACTCTTCGAAATCGAGGTGGTTTCCCGTCGGCGCGTAATATTCCGCGCGCGCGCGCGTAGATCCCGATAATTTATGAATATCCGCGCTGCGCGCGCTACGAGAATCTCTTCTCGAGGTGCCGCAATCGTCGAGGAGAGATCACGGCCCGGAATTCACGTTTTGCGACACGAGCCGTCTGTGGAGATTTGTCTTAAAGGAAAGTTTTCGTCTGTTTTAGAACGCGACCTCCTTCGCGAGTACATTAACGCCACTCTTCATCGATGTGCCGCGTTATTAGCGATTTTACGATGAAACGGCGTACGGCACCTTGTGCGCGCGCTCTACGGAGAATACGAATATCTCGATCTTGTCTGAGTATAGTTTTCAAAATTGTGAGGGAATGATTTCATCGGTAGGGTACGTCACTTCGTATTATATATGTCGGACGCGCTTTGAATTTCAGAAAACTGTATACTGGACAGCAACGTCCGCTGTAGTATTAATACCTGTTTAATTTATGCATGGCCTCCGTAGAGCTGCGCGAGTATTTGCAAAAGATACTTCTCCAAGTTAGACCAGAACGTAATACGTCTGGCAACATAAATTGTGCAACGCGAAACGTGCAAGTTCGTGCAAAATCGTGTTTGCAGCGCGCAAGCCCCGCGCACACGAGATCTCTGTCAATATTCTCGCGAGCAAAATGGCCTTCCTCGTGCTGGAGCACTCAAATAGCGCTTCGTACATATTGCGAGCATGTTTTCGCATATATCCCAGCGAAATGACAGACGATTCGTGTTTTTCCGTCACGCGAGATAATTAGTATCGAATTTATGAATCACTTGACACGATTCGCTGAAAAATGCGTGATCCCTCTATAACTGAACTATTCCAAAATATTTCTTCGTTGTCGAGGATGCAGCAACTAATTATTGCAAATTAATTGCCGTTATATTTCTAAACGCGTACAATCTTCTCTCTTGCGTAACGCGTGATCGTTTCCCAAACGCGGTGTAACCGTCCGGCCGCGCTTACGCTTCCAATAATAAATTGCACAATGCGGGTGGCTGCTTTTAATTTAACGAGCACTTTTATTCTCATCTCAATTCCGGGCATTTAGCTGGCCCTTTAATTCGCCGCGCTATTACGGCGACCGGGACCCTGTTATACGCGATATTAAATAACGCAATGATTCGCGCGGCGCGCGGTTACAATTATTATCATTACGCATTTAATAACGCTCGAGACGCGCGAGAGGTGGGCCGCGAGTTATCGTTAGCGTGGCACGCCATGAGCGAGCCAGCCGCGTCTGGCCGAGGGTTTCAGTAGGTAGTCGCTATACTCGCGAGTCTCTCTCTCTCTTTCTTTCACGTTTCCGCATTTCGATCCCTCCGCGACGGCCCTCCTCGACGCGGTGCGGCGCGGCGCGGCGCGGCGGCCGCGCGCGTACACGCGAGGGGGATTCGCGAGTGAGCGCGCGAGTTGTGCGTGGTACACTGGGCGGCACGCTGCACGCATCTACGCCAACGTGTTCACCTGCATGCACCTGCGTATTCGCGTTCACGCTCGTAACCTCGCGACTGTAAAATGCCGAGTGGATAAGACCGCTGCTTGTTGACTTAGGCGGGACAAGAGAGGCCACTCGATGTCCATCCCGCGGGCACTTCCTGTCGGGCCCGATTCAGGTATTCTGAGGAAGACGAGTCTCTCGGCGCGCTCCGAGAAAAAGTACGACGAGGAACGATATATGTCACACGTGGCTGTTCCACGCTCACAACAATCGAAACTCTCGCGACGATTTTATTACCTCTCCCAACGTCCTCGCGAGTCTTTCACAATGCACGCTTACCTTGATATGCATTTACGGTCGATCACAGAAAAAATTTAGTTCGCTCTGAGACAATACAAAGAATTACAAATAGGAAACAATAGGCAAGAATGTAATATTGTACCGTTTAAATCATTTCGAAATTATTTTGAATTCTTATTTCTATAACACACGTTGATTTGATCATTTCTTGAAATTTTTAATATTCATGATCTTTAATTCTTTCAAATACATAGTCTTTTTAATTGAAATTATTAATTATATTAAGAAGTTTCTAATTTTGTGACTTTTTCATGCAAGATTTTGAAATTTGCAAACGTAATAAAAATGAATTAAAATATACTCTAAGTGAATATAAATATTTCGAGATACGTATTTATTAATACGTTTTATTCTTTCTTTTTCTTCGTCAATCTATATTTAGCAAATTCAGAATAATGACAATGTTGTTTTCTTATAATTGATAAAAAAAAAAAAGAATAATTGTCAGTATCGCAGATGAAATAATGCGTATGTCGCATGTCTAGTCGATGACCAAAATTTGTCAAGGCCATAACAGCCATCGTACGTATCATCAGGAAATTTCTAACATCGCTACAGGCTATCGATCGGTTTAAAACGTATATAGCATCAAAAAGCGGAGTGCACATGTAAATCATTAATCACGTCTATCGGGCAGATATTGTCGAAGAATTCGATCATTTAATCATCTTGACACCTTGTCGAACGTAATATCCGAGGATATTCGTCATTCAATCGTCCTTAAAGCTATGTTAATTCCTGCTCTGACTTTTTTATACGAATTTTTAATTCTTCTCACGTCGGATCGTATGTACCATTCATTCTACTCATACACATTTCTTCATCTATTTTTCTGACACTAATCGTTCTGAAGACGCGTCTCTTCGCGCGGCTTCGAAAAGACGGTTCTCTTTTATTAGGCATAACAGGATACAGTAATAGTGCATTTAACACGACGGCACATCGCGAGAATCGACATTAATGTCAGTCGTTTTTTTTTTATTTCCGCACGCAAAATCATTCTCGAAGAGTTTTATGCTCGCTCTCCGTACAAAGTTTTCCGCGCCGCTGTTATTTTCGTATCGTTGAATAATTTTATAACAATCTTTTACGCCATATATCTTCCGCGCCGTAAACGTTCTTAACGCGCGCGCACGTTTTTTGCGATGCGATTTATCCGCCGCTGATGCGCGCAACGACGTTATAAATTAACCTTCTATTTATCTATTAATCCATTCTATTCGTACGGGACGTCCTTCTCGTACGTGTTAATCGAAT